ATATATATATATATATATATATATTGTGATAATATTGATGATGAGATATGAAGAACAAGTCTACTACTACAGACTGTCACTTGAGAAGTCGAGGATGCATTTGTGTGGTTGAATTGTTTGTTTGAGTCCATGCATTTCATGTTTTGTTTTCTAAGATAATATGAGTCTATATAGGTGGGATATCATAGGTCATCTACCTTTGTCCGAGAATATTATGGTGTGAAAACCTTTATCAAGAATGAAAGGCTACCATGGCCAACTGTAACACTTCGATAGGACCCTAATAGACATCCCTAACGAGGTGGTTTGAGGGATCATTGTTGTGGAGTGGTATCTATACTATTCAATGGGTTAGTTTTGTTCTATTACTCTTAGACAATTATGTACACTTAATGATGAGGAGAATATTGGTATCACATGTATATAAAGCAAGGAGCATACATCTCATAAGTTTTACTTGATAAATGTTATTTTTGTAATTGATGGAATGTGATGTATTACATGAGAGAATTAATTAAGGTGTATAAGATGCAATTGTTATTTGATTGGGGTGTGTGTGTCTATCCTTATGTTTTGTATATGCATGATGGATGAGATGTATTCTCACTCTATGTGTTTGGGCCGATCATCTATTGTAGGAATGTAATAGGAATAGGATAATGGGTTTGAGGGAGGAGAACTGTACTATCCGTACCGCGTAACCGAGATCCGAGCTCGGCACCACAACGCAATCCGACCTCGGACGTGCACCGCATGGCATCAGCTCGGCATTTAAGTGAATCATAACCGATTCCCGAGGATCTCGTCCCAAACGAGGTCCGTTATCTAATCATATTATATCTTATCTCAGGCCCAAGGCCCAAAGCAACCCTAATTCACACTAAGGTACGTGCATTACTTATACGAGATTCATACTCCCACAAACACTAACTTTAGCATCGGAGTCTCTTTTGCAAGTATCACCCCCATCTTGGAGCATCAAGCGTACCAGCGAAGGAGGCTCACCAATCTTACTCAGCGGATCACCTCTACGGCAGATTTCCGGTAAGAACAAGAACAATAAAGAATAGTCTTGCTCTTGTGATATCAAGGTTGAGTTTTATGATTAATGGATATTTTATGTTGAATTTTATATTAAGTTATTTTGTTGTCAGAACTTATTTGATTTAAGATGTTTTTATTTCTTTTCAAATGATGTTTTATATTTTATTGAAGAACGATGTGAACCCTTTTTTATGAGAAGTATTATTACATTGTTTTATTTTTTGAAATTTTTGTTTATATTTTATTTGTTAAATCTTTGGAGGTAGAAAGGTGTCATACTCAGTACGTATGAAGGATGCAGAATCAAACACACACTTTAAGATGTCCAAATTCACATCCAATTGGAAGCAACCATTAGTAATTTTTCCAAAAAAAATATTTT